CCCGCCGACCTGCGGTGCCTGGGCGCGGGGGGCCCTTCTCTCCCGCTGCCGCCTTCCCTGCCCGAGCCCCGGCCGTTGATTCGTCTCTCTCCGACAGCCGCTTATCGACGGTTTCGCGGGCGGGGGCTGTGCACCCGACCCAAACGTTCCCGACGCCTTATTGCTCCTTGCCTTGGTGTTTACTGAAAGTCAGGCTCGGATCGGGTTTCCGCCGCCGCCTGGGAGGGAGACGGGAGACTGGGCTGTTTCCCGGAGTTGGCGGCGGCGGCGGCGGCGAGGCGAAGGCATCGCACCCGATGGAGAGATGTTCACGAGTTTGCAAACCTTGGAGTTGATCTCGAAGTCACGTAAACTTTTTTTGATCGGGGATTGGTTTCGTTTGGGCAAAAAGCTGCTTTAAAAAAAAAAAAATCAACGTTCAGCCTTCCTTGGAAACATTCGTGCTTCGTGGCTGACCGCGTGTTTTCGGATTTCGAGAGGGGCTGACACATGCCAGGCTGCCTGCTGGAGGTGGCGCTCAGTCCCCCAGCACAGAGAAGTGTGTCCCTAGGAAAGTAGGCCTGCAGATGAGCCTGCTGGCATGTGAGCCTATTCTTCTTTTTAAAATCCTTTCATTAAAATCCAGGTCGTTCTTTACAGATAAGTACGCATTTCTTTTTAGAAGTTTTCCGAGACAAAGAATGTTTTTGATGCCAAGGTTGGAAGGGGAATTATCTTTTAGTCTGAGGACAACCACAGCATTCTATAACTTTCTTTTCCTTCGAGGTCTTTTTGCCCTGTATTTGCTTGACAGCAGTTACAACGCCCTGATCTGGAAAATCCTGAGCTTTAATGGCACCCAACTGTGTGGAGTAATTTTTACTTATTTATAAAATCACACCTGCTAAAAATCCAGTAAGATCTTTTAAGTAATGAGGGGGGAAATGTGGCATTGAGGAGACGACTTAATTTACTTTGCTGGTAACTTTGCATTGTGATGTAACAGCTGCATTTTCACAGTGCAGTTGGGGAAACGACTGAAGTCTTAATGAAAAGTGGAAGAGGAAGGTTTAGAATGATTATAGCTTTAAATTAGTAACTCTAGAACCTTAGGAAATAATGCCATCTTGCTTGCAACTACATAAAAAATCTGTAGTGATAAGTTAAAAGATATATTCAGGAGTATGTTGTGTGAAGAACATGTATTCATAATGCCAAAGTGTACGTTTCATAAAATGGAAGTGGAGGTACTAGGGCGACTGTGTCCCCTTTGGCTGCTTGGATATTGTTTCCCATAGTTGCCATAGGATCTTATGACAGGATTGGAATGTGGTCCTTGAAGATTTCTTTGCTGGCCTGTGAGAGGCATAAGAAGCTGGCTTAAAGATTTAGAAAATTAAGGTGCCTTAGTTTAAACTAAGAAATTTGGAATGTGAAGCTCCTTTCTATTATCTTAATGTGTCCTCACTTAAGTCACTATTAGATTCAACCCAACATACTGTATTTGAGTGTTTTCCATAGACAACTTGTTGGAGTGGAGCAATTAACCTGGTCATAGAAAAGAGGGTTGCTTTTGAGAGATCTCTTTGAAGAGTGGGCTGTTTAAATGCCCTGGTTGTTTCTCAGAGCAGGGAGTTTAGCCAGTGCTCTCTGCAGATGCACTACCATATGTTTTATGTCTGGATCCATATCATTTGCCTCAGCACCCCATATGGCTCTGCATTTCAGTTAATTCAGAATCAGCATATCTCATTTCCTTTATTATAAACTAGTGATTGTGCTTCAAATTCACACATGCAGTCCTGGCATTAAGGAAACCGTCTTGAATGGTGAGGCCTTTATGTCTGATTCGTTAAAAAATCATGAAGTGAAAACTCTAGACCACAAATCTTTTAGCATTTCCAATAACTGGCATGAAAATACTGTCACACTGACCATAAATGATCTGACCCCCAAAATAGAAAAATCTGTAACTGCCGAGTTAGAATTCTTCCCTTGGGAAATGAAAAGGGTACTTTCAGTTGTTTTGTTGTTATTGTTGTTGTTTTAAGCAAACCTCTGCAATTTCTGAATGGAGATCCAATATGGGAGTTACTTGCTTACTCATACACTTCATAGCCTTCTTGCTGCATCCTTGAGATTGTTCCTGCTCTGCATTGTCTTGGCATTTTGACAGGAAGCTTACTTTACCGCCTACTACAGGCAAAGTGTGCATTGCCATTATAAATTCATGAAGCCTGGATATTTCTGGGTGTATGCTACAAATTAGTCATATACAGGAGTCTACAGCAGGTCTGAAAATGCGGGCCCAAATGTACTTTCTAGTTAGCCTTCCTCCCTCCCAACGTCTCCAAAGCAAAAGAACCCACGAGGTCTGTTTTATGTGAGATTTCTTTAAGCAGTCAGCACCTAGCTATTATGAAAATGGGAAAGATTAGGGTGTGGGGAGGAAGTATGAGAAGAGAGCTGGAAATCTAAATTTTGCCTCTTTTCCCGTCTGAACGGTTCCTTCTACATTTCCACACTGTTCTTACTTTTGATATTTTATGACTATTTGAAATAATTATAAGTAAATGTATGCTTGGATAGATTTTATAGGCCATAAAAAGAACAAATAGGCATGCAAGTTTAGCGGAAAGTTCTTGTGCTGTCATTTATTTGTAGTCTAAGAGCTGTTCACTACTAAGATCTTGGCCCTATCTTTATTTTCTTGCTGTCTGCTTTCTGTGAATCTGATTTAAAAAGAAGAAAAATACAGTAGTTACTTAAGTCTTTTTTTCCAATCATCAAGTACTGTTATTAGGAATTCCAGCCTTCAAGTACTGAGTTAGGAATTTAGGGGGGACATGACCTGTGGCAGAAGAAAAACAAGCTTTGAGGAGAGGGACCAAATCCTGGCTTAATACTAGTTGTGTGCAATCTAGCCAGGGTGAGGCTTTTAATATCCCCTTGCCTTGGTTTTTCCATCTGTAAAAAGGTTTAATGCCTTTTGGGGTTTTTGTTTGTTGGTTGATTTCTGTTTTGTTTTGGCTTTGTTTTTAGTTAAAAAAAAAATCTGAAATAACTTGATTGCTTCGGAAAGAGAAATTCTATAAATATCAGAGCTGCTTTTGTGAGCTTGGAACTGAACAAACATGAAATAGATCACGCACATGAAGACTGCTTTTGTAACTTTTTAAAAATGTGATTTGGTGATTGCTGTACATTCATAGCTCCAAAATATTAAAACATTTTAAGTTTCTCTTTCAGGTTAAAGTGATTACTGAGCCTAGATGATAATATTTTTTCCTCTTTGGTTTTTCGTATTTATAAAAGGTGACAGAGTTATCTCCAGAGTTTATCCCCTCCCACCGTTTTCTCCCAACTAAAGCCAGAAACAGATTACAGGCTATTTAATTCAGATTTAAAAACAGTTTACTACTGAAAATATTAGAATAACTTTCTATTAGGCTTGACAATATTATGCTTATTTTAAGTTTTTATCAGTTGAAGTCTCCTAAACCTTGATATTATCCTGAAGTTTATTGTATCCACATCTTGAAGTAATTAAATGTTTAATAATCTACTGGCCTTGAGTTTTCCCCCCATCTAGAATACAAATTTTAAGATATTTTTTGCCTGGGAAAGATCTTAAAGTTCATCTTAGAACAGCCTCTTCGTTTCTCTGTTGAAAAATCTGAGACTTGAAGAGATTAAGAAAGAGACTTTTCAATAGCTTAAAGACCTATAAAGAATTTTAAGTAACATAGATATGTGTTACAGTTCATTTATATAAAATTTAGGTTGATGATAAAAGTATATCTCTTCAGTAAGTCTGTTGTTTCCACGTTATGGAACAGAATATTAAATTAATTGGAGCACATAACTGACCTCTAGCATTGGCAATTCTTGTGCTTTAAGGTTTTATAAATTTTTATTTGAAAAACTACTGGTGAAAAAAAAACAGCATTTGGAAATTGATTTTTTAAAAATAGGGCAATAATACTTGAATTTTCACTACTTCTTTATAGCTTTGTCTCAGTCATTAAGTTTATGTGAATTGTTGGTTTGAGAGAAAAAATATGTATACTCTAAGAATTCTCTGCTTTATAGTTCTCTGGTTTTCTTTCTGAAGATATATAGTTGGTTGAGATCATTTGTTTCTACAGTATAATTTCAAGGTAGTGTACCTGTGTACATTTTTATTTGGTGTGCTTATGCTTGTCATCTGCTTGAGCTGGGGTCCTAGAGTGGTCGAGACAGATGTTAAGGGAGAAGTAAATATGTATTGCTTGGTCAATATGTATGCCTGGTCGCATGAATCACTTTGCTTTTAAAGAGTATTTCTATTTTGTACAAACTAGGAAATTGTGTAGTTTATGTGCAATGTGTTGATAAAATATCTCAGGAAAAGTAGAATGACTTAGTACTTGGATTTGTTTACCCTGTAGACATATAGATAAATCAGGTAAAAGTGTTTTAACTAATCATAGTGTAATTTTTAATTTTATCCCTTCATGAGGTGTAGAGGTTTTAATCATAACTTTGTGCGTAGTGCTGCTTTTACGGTGCTTTCTGAAGCCAGTTACTCATGCAGCTTTCAAAATCAAAATAAAGTTCATGTCTTTGGCTTGGCCTTAGGGTAGAGGAATAGTTCTCAAAATTTATAATCAAATAGTGACAATAATAAAATATTTTATTTACTATCCCCTTGTTATTTTAACCTGTGGTCAGTGAACTAGATTCACATTCACTCACAACGGCCCATGCTTTATAGAGTTTAAGTTAACTAATTGCATGCAGTTTTTCTCCTAGTTACTTACTAAATTTGAGAGAGACACAGGAGTACAATGCAGCCCTATTTCTGAAGTCTTCTCAAAATAGGAGTATAATATGTACAATAGAACAGACAGTTCCCAGAGGAGCATGTCGTTTTCTCATGTAGCTCAGAAAGTTATGAAGCATTTACAAGTGTTTGGCCTTATCTTCTTTCCCATAGGTGACTGCCAACAGCCAGCCCAGTGTCGAATCCAGAAATGTACCACGGACTTTGTATCCCTGACTTCACACCTGAACTCTGCCATTGACGGCTTTGACTCTGAGTTCTGCAAGGCCCTGCGTGCCTATGCTGGCTGCACCCAGCGAACTTCAAAGGCCTGCCGTGGCAACCTGGTGTACCATTCTGCCGTGTTGGGTATCAGTGACCTCATGAGCCAGAGGAATTGTTCCAAGGATGGACCCACATCCTCTACCAACCCCGAAGTGACCCACGATCCTTGTAACTATCACAGCCATGCAGGAGCCAGAGAACACAGAGGAGGGGACCAGAACCCTCCCAGTTACCTTTTCTGTGGCTTGTTTGGAGATCCTCACCTTAGAACTTTCAAGGATCACTTCCAAACGTGCAAAGTGGAAGGGGCCTGGCCCCTCATAGATAATAATTATCTTTCAGTTCAGGTGACAAATGTGCCTGTGGTCCCTGGATCCAGTGCTACTGCTACAAATAAGGCAAGTATACTTTCCTTTTTCCCTTCTCCTTCATAACTGGGAGATGTTTGAGTCCTCAGACAACTTTTGGAATGTGGTACAGAAGGTCTAGCTTTTAAAAGGATCTCTTTTGTCGGTTGATAGAGGGTTAAATAAAATTATTTAGTAAGGAATTCCTCATTGGAAAGTAAAAAGTGTGTCTAAATTTAAATAGGCAATGATACAAAGAATAAAAAGTCAACAGTGAAATTGAATTCTCCAGGAAAAAGGCAGACCTGTTTAATGACAAAATGTGTGCTTTTTTCAGTTATGTCTTTAGAGTGATATGCATGTGAGTCTTCTTGATGAAATCCATGTTCAGATGACTAAAATCAGTGTTCATAATAAAGAAAGCTGTGAAGCCTGAGGCATTGACCCATCCAGAAACGTATTTTATCAGAGATTTGGAGGCCATAGTAAAATGTAATGGCAATAAGGCAGCTTCCCAGTGGTAAACACACAGTAAAGTTTTAGTTACTAACCTCTTGATGACCAAGAAGGGCTAAGGATTGGATACTGCAAAGCAGTAATGTATAACCTCGGTGCTGTCTCAGGCCTCGGGGTAACAGTTTAAGTCAGAAGCTAAGGGAAACACTGACAAAATTGAGTTAAGCTTACCATGTCTAGCTGCCAGTTTCTGTGGTCTATTTTTTTTTTTTTTTTTTTAAGAAAGTAATACTGTACAGAGATCTTTGCAGCCAACTTCAAGGTGCCAGTGTGTCTTAGTGCAAGTAGATAAAGAGGAGCTACAAACTGGATTTCTAGTTGCCAGTCGGTGTTAATCCCGTTGTTGTAAATAAAGTAAAAAAGGGTTTTCCACTAAAATAGTGTCCAAATTAATCACCTTTTTCCCTGTCTTCCCCAACTGCAAAACCATACACAAACACCGTCTCACCTTGCTTCGTTTCCTGTATTTATCGTATCTATTTATAAATTGGTTAGACTAAAATATAATTGATGAGGATTGAGCTTTTGAAATTTGTATGACTGTTCTTTTGATTCCAGGAGCCCCTCCCTTGCCTCTAAACATGTGTGGCAAACTTTTAAAATGAATTTAAATTATTTTACTTGGCATTTTGTGGAGGGAATTTACAGCACCTCAGGAGATATCTGGAGACACCCAGGGGTGTCGCAAATCTAAGATTAGAAGTCATTGCTCTGAACAAAGACGACTGTTACACTGGTCCAGACATCTTAGGGGAACTCCAAAATGTTTATACTTCAGCTCCCAGTAAAAGCTCAAGTTTGCCTTTTGCCTCATCAGATTCTACATTTCAAAATAAACTTTTCTCCCTCTGGTTTTTATATGTATGCAAATGATTTTCCGTGTGTGTGTGTGTGTGTGTGTGTGTGTGTGTGTGTGTGTGTGTGTGTTTGCTATAAGTTACATTATAAAGTTATGTAACTATGAAGTTATGAGAGAAATCGTGGTCAAAAGTCCATTGTTACTGCAGTCATAGGGCATATATACCCTGGGAATAGTTTTGGATAACTGACAATTCAAGAAGGCAGTCCATTGGGAATGGAAAAAGTCATCCTCAATTGTGCAAATAATTGAGACTTGGAGGAGTAACTTTCAAACAAGACTGTAGAAATCAATAAAAGCTGTGTACATGGGAAAATATTGATTCTTTTCACAAGCCTCGAATTTTATTTTCCATGCCTTCCATCCAATCACATGTTATCACTCAACCTATCAGAATGCTATCATTTCACTGATTATGGTGAAAATATTTAGAGGATATCCAATAACCTTAAAAGTATTGATATTATATAAATGAAACAGTTTCCACTGAAGTATATAAAGATTATTTTATTTCAGTTGTTGATTATAATTTTTTTTTGGTAATACAAAGTGCAACTTTATTTTTACCTCAATTTGGTAAGAATCAAAAATTTTCCCTTTCCAAAGAGGAGGGAGGGGAAAGTGGCCCTCTGACATACATTTAAGTGAACAGTGAGAATTCCTGGTCTTTAATTGCACTATTGGAGAGTATTTCCTCACATCTGGTGGCCATGCTGTTCAGCAACAAATTACTCAATAGCTTCACGACCTCTAGTAGGTTTTGTTTTTTTCCCTTTTTGTAACTCTCCAAAGTCCCATAAGCATCTGGAAGGTTATTCTTGAAGACCTGTCTTGATGCCAGTATGACCTGTGCTAGTGAAACCAAGTGAAGGCCTAAAATCTTGCAATACAATTTCCTTTTATCTACCCAGGGCCAAAATAAAATTTTTAAAGACCCTAAGCATGAAAAAAAATGTTGGTAATAAATAAAAATAGGGAGCACAAACTAGTTGCAAAATAAATTCTGAAGAAGATGTGAAATTTTCCCTTTATGTCTACCGCAGTGCTTTCAATAAAAATCTTTTGAGGGCAACCCCTTCAGGTCCCCTCCCACTGTGGGAGCTTTTCTGTCCTCTTAATAAATCCTGGTTTAACAAAAATTTCTTTTTGAAATTTTTTTTCATGCAAGTCCCAAGTTTACACTTAAGCACATACATACACATCTGTGTTGGGTAACCAGCACTGTACCTTGCAGATACCAAACCATTCTTACGTGGTCAAGCATTTTTAATGACTCATATGCTCAGTGTCACTAGATTTAAAGACTGACCAATGATATCATTGGCTGACTGTCCAGCTGTGATGGTGAAATTGTATTTAAACATCCATTCATTTCACTGCCTTTAGCACTGCATGGAAGCACTAAAACCCACAGTTTTGCAAAGTGAGGTTACTAAGACAATTCCTCAATCCTGGGAACACGGCTTCTTTAAGTCTAACATTGTACGCTCTACCTGTTCCTAAGTAGCACCCCCTTTGTCTCATCACAAAAAGACAAAATGGGGAAAATGCTAAACCACAAGGAAAGGAAATCAAGTCATTTGTACTCAAGAGGCCATTTATTAGCTAAGCCTTTTATTTTTTCCACACAACCAGCAGTGAGTTCAAAGCAGACAGGCCTGCAGTGCTCAATGATGTCGCCTCATCACCCCTAGTCTACTATGTCTCCTCCCCTCCCTCGGAAAAATAGGGCTTATTTTCTAGTTGGTCATGGTTTGTACAGGTATGCTTTCTCAGGGCCTGTGTGTTCTTAGTTTTGCCTTCTGCCAGCCTTTTACACTCTCTCTGGAGGAGTCTGTGGTGGTTGGCTGCCTTGCCAAGTAGGTGTGTTTCTGAAGGGGAATCCAGAGCTGGTTTTTCATCTCTCCACCTTGGGGGCTGCAGGGGTGTCTGGCACACCCACACACCTCGGCTGAGATCCACATCTGCTCTGGGCCATCTTCCCCACTGTTGGCTGTGAGGCAGCTGCAGGCACGCGGGTACTGGGAGAGAGTGAGATGAGAGGAGCGGGCAGAGTTAGCTACATGAGAAAGAAAAGCAATTTTTGTTTTAGGGGGAGAAGGTAGCCTAGTTTGTAGGCTCTAGTGAAGGCGTATGTCTGTAGCTCTCCTGTGCCTCACACACTCGAGATCAACTGTATGTGAGGATGCTTGACTTCTTCTACGTTCTCTGTCAACTTCAGTCTCAACTCTAGTGCATTCTGTGGATCTGGTTTAAGTGGCATCAATGAGGGTCTGCATATGCCATGATCACAGAAGGTGACTGGCGAGCAAATTCTTTTATGAAAGATTCTGCATGTGGCAAATGCATTCTTAGTAGCAAACATTAAAATCACCAGTCTCAAGTGCATTCAATGTGATCCTTTTCCAGAAAGCTTTCAGAAATTATAAAATTGCACACCTAAACAGTGACAGTATTTTCAGTAATTATTTTTTACAAGTAATATGGATGCCTTGGCTTTATTTTTCCTTTTGTTTTAATGTAATTGTATCCTTTTTGCACTGCTCTTGTTTTCTTATCCTATCCTTCATCCTTGGTAAAACAAAATAAAAGTTGGAGGGAAGGTTGGGGGTGACAGCTGGTCCCGTTACAGGTCTTCTGCTACACATTTGCCTGTGCTTTATCCTTGGGTGAGAGAAGGTGGTTTGCATTTGGACAAGGGTTGTGCTCTTCGTGTTTGACAACCAGTTGACTGGTGGGGAGTGGGTGGACCCTTAGGTGCCTGCCTTGTGTGCTTGCTGCTGCCGTGGGTCACCAGCTCTGGGTAATCCTACTTACTGCCTGTCCAAAGCAGAGGAGGAAGCCCTGCCCATCAGGTCGATAGATATATTTAAAATTCCATAATTACACCTGAATTTCAAATTCTGTAGCCACTTTCTTGGAAGTTCCTGAAAACTTCTCCTGGTTGAAGATGTAGATGTAGAAAGTCTGAGTTTTTAGTTCACTCTTGTTAATGTTTTCCTCAAATTGTATTACCCAGGGTTTTCCATTGTAAATGAACACCATTCCTTTGTCGGCTCCTGGAGCATGAAGTGGGTCCATTCTTGCTTTCCGATGCCTCTTAGCATGTAGTTACTGTTTCATAACAGCATGTGGGCATGTAAACCCGCAGGGTCATTCTCTTGACTACAAAATCAGAACCAGACATGCCTGCATTGCAAAGGCTATCAACTGTCATTTTAAGTATTTTTCTGCATCAGACTTTGGAAATCTGTCCTCTGTTGACCCCAGGCCTAGTACATTTACTGTAGCCAAGTTTTGCAAACCATTGTTTTGTTAGTATCTTTACAGAGACCATGTGAGCTACACAGTAGTGATCACTATTGTTATGGACTAAGGAAAATGCATTGGCAGGACTGTGTTTGAATATATGGACACTGTTCTTGTGTGCAGTGTTGTAAAGGGGGCCATGTGGTATCTTCTTTGGGAATGTAGAACACTTATCTTCCAGAGACCACAACTGTCGTGCAGGTGCATTGTAAATCATTCTTAAAATCTGAGGTTGAGCCGGGCTCGGTGGCTCAGTTTGTAATCCCGCGCCTTCGGGAGGCTGAGGTGAGTGGATTGCCTGAGCCCGCGGGTTCGAGACCCACCTGGGCAGCGAGACCTCATCTCTACAATAAATCAAAAAATCAGC